TCTCGATGTTCCCCTCTGGAGCATACGGAAAACATCGTGATTGCTCACGATGTTTCTCGGCATCCTGTCGCCATCAAGTGCAACGCTTGGAAGGCAACAAGTAGGAGAACGCCGACACATTGTGACTGTTTTCCCGTGTAATATCCTGTGCGATTCCACATGACTATTATCCAATGCGATGACTGTCCATATTTTCTTCCACGAGTGTTAGCAATTCGTCGGAACTCAGCGTCTCGTAATTTTGTCCGTACTGAATGAATACCCATTTGTCTTTGAAGGAGGCAGCTTTGTCCCATACCAATAAAAGTTTGCTCGTATTCTGCCACTAAAACAATATGAGGAACCGTTTAGAGCGTGTTCACTACGTAGCTGGAGATGGAGATCAAAAAAGCTGTTTGGACGGGATTGGTCAAAACGATGTCACTCACAACAACACAACCAGAGAAATAACCGTGTCTCCTTCTCTACCTCTAACAGGTAGAGAAGGTTGGAGAGCTCGAGAGATCCACGATCTAAATCGTGCAATGGACGAGAAGAAGCAGTAGTTGTTGCCACGTGCATTGCAGCCGCTCATTCTGTTGCTGTTGCTGTTACAAGTCACGAGGCTGCCCCTCCGGGTCCCAAAAACAGAAACTCACTGTAAATATTTTGAACTTCGAGTCTATGCTCCGGTCGGCTGCCTACAAAAGCTGGTTTGAAAGCAACCTCAGATGCCCACAACGGAAATTTCTGCTAATCTGCAATTTTCTCCGAGAGAACGGCATCCGTTTCGTTGTAGCGAAGACAAGGCGGCACTCCTACAACAAGAAAGTGGCTGCTGCTCTCTACTTTGTAGGCTCGGCTGGAGGTTATCGTGAGATGGGAATTTCACGAAGCTATGTGATTGAGATTACTGCGGAAGTGGTACGGGTTTTAAGAGACGTCGCCCCACTTGTAGTGGTATTTCCGCGTGATCAGAACGGTTGGAATGCAGTAGAAGCGGGTTTTGCCGCAAGACACGGTTATCCCGGAGTGGTTGGGACAATTGACGGGTCCCTAGTTGAAATCGAGCGCCCTGATGACGTTGATGGATTCTACTGCCGAAAATGCTATTCTGCATTAAAT